TGTGCTGCGCTACTGCGTACACAATGCCTACGTTGTTGGCGTACGCAGCTGTAGCGACCGGGCGGCTGGAAATCTCGTCCTGGAAGCGAAGCCACTTATACAAGTAACGACGAAAATCACCCTAGAGTGGGAAGACGCCAAGCCCTCCGGCGAGCCCTCCGACAAGCCAAGCTTCAACACCAGCATCTCCTCACAAGGGGCAGCATATTTCGACGAGGCGGCAGAAGAGGAGGGTAACGCGGACGCCCTATCACCGCTTCTACCAAAGCAGCCCGCGACTGGTCCTGAAGCATCCCGAACGTTCATCGAGAGAATACCCTTGGGCGGCGCCGGGGGGGGCAAGGACTCGGAAGCCGCCGCCGACCGCGGCACTACGCTGGCTGTAAGGTTTAAGCACACGGCCGGAAGAGGAGGACTACGAGATTGTCGGATGGAGGAATATTACGAATTAAAAGTTCTTGTTCTTTGGCATAAAAAGTAACCTGCGAAAGGGTCCAGCCTCTGCGGACAGCCGGGCGCCGGAGCGGGACTCGGTTCGGCTCCGGGGTACACGTTCCCCCACCACAAATTTTGAGCTGGCAGCTTTGTGAAAGCGTGTAGAGAGAGGTCGTTAATCCAACAAAGGTATTGATTGGCTGTGTGAAATTATGTGGCTGCCTGCCGCATATCGGGCCCCCACTATATCACGCGCTAAGCCGCCGCTTCGACAGCCGCTCCTCCCTACTTCCACGCCCCTATTAATCTGCTCTTTTTGCTCGGCTTTTGCAATCCCCACCTCCTCCCCCCTGTTCATCCTCTCTTTTCGCTCGCCTTCCACAATCCCCACTTCCGCCCCTGTCAGTCTGCTCTTTTTGCACAGCCTTTGCAATCCCACCTCCACCCCCTGTCCATCTGCTCTTTTTGCTGACTGTCACAATCCCCACCTCCACCCCCCTGTCCATCCGCTCTTTTTGCTCGGCCTTTCACGGTCCCACTTCCGCCCCCCTGTCCACTCGCTCTTTCCGCCCGCTCTTTTTGCTCGCTCTTTTTGCTCGCTCTTTTTGCTCGTCTCACTTCACCCTATCTGTTCACTATTCTTGCTTGACCTTTGCAACCCGAATTTCCACACTGTCTGCTTCCGCGCTGTCACCCGGTTCACTCTTACTTCGCAGCCTTTCCTGCAATCCTCCCTTGTACCTCCTTTCGGCTCCATCCGCTTCCGACAATGCCCCCTAAAATTGAAGGGGCAGCAGCCAAGGCCCGTCGATGTGAAGCTGAAGCGTTGAGGCTCGCAGCCGAGGCGAAAAGGCTTGGAGCTGAAGCGGAAAAAGCTCGGGCTGAAGTGCGGAAGGCAGAAGAGGAAGTAAAGGCTAACATAAAGGCCAAACTAGACTCCGCCAGTTTGCCTGAGAAACCTTCAAGGAGAGATTGGTCCAATGAAGTAAAAGCGATCGCCAATCACTGGAGCCAACACGGTCTTGCCTCAGGGCTTCGTTTTTCGACTTTGATTTGTCTCTGCCAGTGTCTTCCAGGGACTGACTGGGACCTTTGGTTGGGCGAGCATCGAGGGATTCTTAAGGCGGAATCGCGCGAGCTGAATCAAAGGTTCTCGTTCAACTGGGGAGTCTGGAAGTGGTTCCAAAAAGCCGCTAAACCCACGGAGACAAAAGCTTGCGTCCTTGGTACATTTTAACGAACTGTAATGTATTTTTTTTTCGGAGAGAGAGTTTGCTAACATTTGCCTATATGTATCAGGACTGGCTTACGAAATCTTCGCAGACGACCTCCCTGGGCTTATCGAAAGCTTAAACATGCTTCATCTTCAGCAGCTCCAGGCTGGGTCGCACGATTCAGCAGCAACCCCACGTTATGCCACCCCGACTAACCCCCTGAAGCGGAAACGCCCAGAGAACTCAGGGACCGTGGCTGGCTCGCGCGTTGGTTGTAAGGCTCCCCTCCCACTTCATTCGTCCGCGCCGTCTGACGGGTCGTCCCAGCGGCACCAACTTTAGTCGAGCCGAAACCCTTCCCTCATCCAACGGAAAATTTCGATCCCGACCGACACTCCGATGCCGGACGCCAGCGCCAGGACCTTCCAAACGCCGCGCCATGTAAGGATGCCCCCCTTTTCCTTTCATTTCTCGCGCTGTCTAACCTGAATTTCAACACACTACAGCTCCATCTGCGGCTCCGCCCTTTGCCGCATACCAAGCGTTTGCGGCCCACGCGCCCTCGCCGCACACCCTCCGGGCTCAGCCGAAGCATTCAGGAACCGGCCACAACGCATCGCACACGTCTGACGTGCCCGGTTACAATCCTGGCCGACCTTTTCCGCGCCTTGATTCCCATCCTGAACCACGCTCAGCCTCGGGTTCAAGCAACGCCAACCTTGGGCAGAACTCTGGTGCAAGCACGCCGATTCAGCAGTGTAAGCAACTCATCCCTTCCAGGTGTGATACTATCCCGGCGTCAATTGCACGAACGCCAGCTGACCTGAAGTTTCAACACACGCGCAGCTTCGTATGCACCACCGCCCCGTTCCTACCTCACCCAGCCTACGGCCCACGATGTCCCGCTCGTGCCTGTAGGAACGGATAACGCACCGCATACGTCGTGCGACCCCGGTTTCCCCTCCAGCTTGGCCGACAGTGCCCACGCAGTCTCGCCGGGGCACAACTTTGATGCAGGCACTGGTATGAAAGCCCACCAAACACACTCTTCCCCTTATACAAGCGCCGACAAACCGCGTTTCCCATCGACACAAGCAGCCCGAACTTAGCGCCCAGCCGGTCCATACTGCGCTCGTGAATGATGTCACCGATTTTGGTGGAATGCGGCTAACGTTAGTATCATTTCTTGCAGCGCAGCTTCACCAAGCCCCACCATCGTCCATGCGCGTCGCGAGCCTTCTAACCGAAAACGGGCCCCTTGGCGAGGCTCTGCCGCAGGAGGAAACTTCACCTCAGGCAAGATTTTACGAGATCGAACCAAAACTGCTAGACCACCCCACACTTATATCCATTTTAACGCGCCCCTTCCGCCTCGTCACCCCTAAAGCCGATAAATCCTTCCTAAGTTCAGCCGTTCATATTTCCGAGCAGTATCGCGATTATCTCCTTCACTACCCAACTACTCACGAAGTGCAGTTGCTAGGCCCGCGGCAGTTTCAAATATAACCACCATATACAGGTGGTCGGTTTTGGGTGTTGGAGGATTTTTGTATTATAATAGCAATGAATATTTCTGCGTAGCTTCGGGGTGGCCGTGTGGGACTCGAGAGAAAGAATGTGGGTATGCCTGGGCTTCAAAGGGGACGCATCGATATCGCCACAGGCCCCAGTGTACTTCCATCAGCCAGTGAGCGAACCGGATGGCAAAGGACGTCGTGTCCGGGACACCAGGGTATCGCCGCTCAAACCGCGTATCTTTGGGTCCTTCGTGGGTTTGCCGCCATTTGGGTGAGAGCGAAGGCTGGGGGTTATATCAATTGGACCTTTGGCACTCGGTTTACTGGGCCCACTGGAAGCTGGGGTGCATGCTTAAAAATGTAAACAAACCCGGGAGCCGGTTAAACCTTCGTAGGATTTTAAATTATAGCGACGGTTGCGAGCAGCGCGAGCAGGTCCTGCTGGGAAACTATTTAATAACTAAAAAAAATCGTAACGGGTAAACATCCTACTCCCACAGCGCTGCAAGCGCACTTGCCACATCTGAAACGGTGGAAGGTTTTGCATCTGGTTTCCCATCGGTGTAAGTTTGATGGGCAGTAGGATTTTTTGGTGGTGGGGCGTAAGCCACGTTACCCTTCAAAACGCGAGCCCCGCCATTCCCCTCGACTCTGTGCGCCCAGCCAGTTGTCCGAGTCTGCTTCCACCCCCCCGCCACCGACTCGTCGACCAGAATATGGTGGACCTCGTCGACGATGAATTCCAACGCCAGTTCCCGGTCAGTGTCTTCAGGATGGAGGATTTCAAGTGCAATTAAATCCTGCAGCTCCTTCTCCATCACTGCTTTGGCGAACTCTCGAAGGAAAGGACCGAGGTCGAGCTCAGAAGGAACCGGAGAATGGCCGTGCTGGAACTCGTAGGGGTGGAGAGAGCCATCTGGTTTGACGACATAGACATGTCCATGAATCTGCTTGCCGCGCACATCCTTTACGAGGGTAGGTTTGGCCCAGCGGCGAATAGATTTTTCGACGTTCGTTCCTCCTGAGACATTGATGCTGGTTCCGAGCAGGATAGTGTTGTCGGGGATAGGATGGTGGCTATGAGCCAGGTGGAGGCCGATGACACCTTGCAGACGATGCCGGCAAAGAAGATTGTCGAAGAAATCCAGATATTTTTCGTCGATGGCTGGCTGTGTCGATACCTCTGGGAGATTGTTGTAGCTAATGAGAGTTGGTTGACGTCCATTAAAATGCAAGATTAGAATACCTACATTGATGTGGCGCATTTCAAGCGCTCGTCGCTGAGAGGAGCGCACAAGGAGAGATTCGCCATTGTTTCGGACATGCAGTCGCTGTTGCCACCTATGAATGCGGACGAAAAAAAGAACTTGAGCAGGGTGGGATAATTATATCCACCGCTGGGTGACACATGTAATTTGGAAAGCACGGAAACCTGCCGAATATCGCTCAAACTTTCGGGTAAACTAAACTTCGCGAGACATTGACTAAAAAATCGGGTGGCTAAATCCCGCAAGCCAAGGTGGTGGTTCGCTTATGAATAAAGCCGCTCGACGTGGTACGTGGAAAGTTGATAGAAGCATTTGCCATGGGCGGGGCGGTGGTGCGACCCCTTTTTCGATATTATGCCAATGTACAATTGGCTCGAACCGGTCCGCTGACCAGAAAAATGGTCAGCGGATTAGTTTTGACGGGACAAACCGGAAACCGGGAGGGTTGAAGTCGCCTTTCGTAAGGGTCGCTACTTGGTTTTTTTCTATCGAGGAGATGCTCGGCTTGTGATGGAAAGGTAGCGAAGGAGGGGTGCCCCGCGATTGTTGCCAATGACCTTATCTAAAGTGGGTACCACTCGATGGGCTTGGCTGTTCCACAATTATTGGGCGGGGGGTCTAGTGATGTATAAATTAGATAGAGGCGCAGGAACTACCTTGGTGATAAGACGCCTTGCTGCACCCGGCAGGTAATGAGCAGCGACAGGCGACGGAGTCGGCAGTTTGTCGCTCGGGCGGAGTCCCGCAAATCGGGTAGGCGGGATGCCCGGCCTTGGCTTCGGAAAAAGCCGGCGGGGGGGCCTCCGACCCGAAAGCTGCTTCCAATGAAGGAAGCAAGCCGGAGCGGCAGCGAGGCTTACCAACCGGGCCTGCCTCCCGAACGAGCCCGCCATAGCCGAAAAAAGCGCGTGCCCAAAACGCCGCGGCATAAGCCCCAGCGGAACGGCGGGCGTCGGGCGAGCTGCGAACTAATTATTGAAATAGTAACATGGTTGGGCATCATTGCAAAATTGTGAACAGCGAACACCAGTAGCTCAATGGGTTTCACAGCGCGAAGTGGCATGCGCCGTGTGATGGCGCGGCGTGCCTTGTTGGGCACACGCAGCCATGGCTCGTTTGCACCAAGGTACTAAGCCCAACGTGGGATACAAGTTAGGGAACTTGTATCTTTTCGTCCTTTCGGCCTAGTTGGATTGGGCTTAGCTAGATTTGCCAAAGCCGTGACACGCCGCATACAGAGCTTTCGTAGTTGGGAGGTCAACTGTCTCGATCGGGCTTTAATGGGTCGGGCGCCGCAGATGCGGCCATGGAGGCGCGGCGACACTTATGTCAGGGTGGAGGAGCGCAGCCGAACCAGGACGGCTCACCGGGACTGTTCAAACTACTAGTCGCGTGCTCCCGCGCATTCGGACGGCGGCAAGGCCTTGCACAGAGCACGCCCTCTTGGAATTACCAGCGGCAATTGCGGGCGAATGGAGCTTTCGCGCCGAATACCGAAGGTGTGGGCCCTGGGAAGGGGCCGGATCGGAACCTCTTAAAACTTTAACCTTCGGCGGTGTCCGAAAAAAGCTCCCTCATTCGGAGTAAAAGTGTAGCGCATTTCGCTTTCAAAGTAAACGCGGTTGTTTCATTCCATGCTACAACGGTTTGCATCCTTCTTCCCTTTATTGCTTTCCATGCGAAGCGCGCTTACGTGCTCCGGCGGGTTGCTCCAGCGGGGGGCCGTGCCGCCGATTGCTTGGCGGCTGCTGTGGAAGAAAGCTGAGGTGGATTGTCTCCCGAAACACATAAGTGGCGGATGGCGCTATGTCGATCCTTGGGCATTTTGGCGGATGGTATTGCAACTAGGGGAAGAGCCCGGGGCGGCGTGGGCCGCTTTGAGCGCCGCGCCGAACGTGAGCTGTTTTCGTCACGCCCGAACCTGACGCCGCTTGGTCCAGCGACATGTCAACCTCTGCTTTTTCTGGAAGTTGTCGTCCCGGCAGGGATGTACACGCTCAAAACAATTGCTGTTCCTGAACGGGTTGCCCCCGAGCTCCAGCTGCATGAAAAGAGTTTGGGTGGCTGGAGCAATGTTTACGCTGACGCTCACTGAGCTAACCTTCTGGGGAGTGATTGGATGAATTTCCCGAAGTGTGAAGGTGCATGATTTGGAAGGTACTGTGCAGCTGGCTGGCTGCAATCCGGAGACCGTGGCGGGCACGCAGGCTCCTCGTGCCAATCGGCAACGATCGCATTAGGCGCAAACGGAAAGGGGTTATCTGCAGCCCCCAGCCCCCAGTGTCAGGTGCCCCGGGCGGGTTCCGGGCCTAGCCTATTAACCAGACTCTAGGCCCACTTTTATCCGCATTCGTTCAAACCCGCTTCAGGGCTGGTTCACAATTCACGCCCCTCCATGAGGCTCTGCTGCTTGTGGTGACTTGGAACGCGTTGCAATTTGTAAACCACCGCTGAGCGCCACCATGCTGGGCGTATCTCTCTCCTGTTTTTGTTAATTTATCTTTTCATCCGGTGGACACCGCCGCATAACCGACTGCGACAGCAGAAACGCTTTTTAGGGGTTTCCCGGCCTTGGTTCTACCGCTGCTACTGTTGCAGACCTTTGCACCTTTGTCGCCCCCTGTTGGGGCAAAAGCACGACAGGCCACTCCACATATCCTTCCGCCGACCAAAATAGCCTTACAATTGTTCACAAAAAGATGGCGACCTTAGGGAATAAAGTAAATTGTACTTTTCGCAACGATCGTGTCAGCGCGGAGAAAGCAAAGCCAGCTGCCCGCCTTCCCCAGAAGGATTGAACAATAGAAACCCGATTCCCCGTTATTACCGTGCCCGTCCTTTCTATTTCTAACGGAAACACAAATAATATGCTAGAAAAGACAGCGCTATCAGTATTCTCGAACCCTTCTCGCCCCTGCCCCTAGGTCCCCGTCTTACCTCACCCCAGAGTCCCCGCCTTTCCTCGTCCCGTCTTTCCTTATCCCGCCTTTCCTCGTCCCGACTTTTCTTGTCCCGTCTTTCCTTGTCCCGTCTTTCCTTGTCCCGTCTTTTCTTATCCCGTCTTTTCTTATCCCGTCTTTCCTCGTCCCTGGGTCCCCGTCTTTCTTCGTTTTCGTCCTTGGGTCCCCGTATTTCCCAGCCCTTTTCGCCCCTGCTCTGTCCTCGCTTGCTCCATCGATCGCTCTTTTCGGGCTTCGCAATTCGGGCGCGAGACCGACTGCGTGATTCCCGATCCCGCCCGGGTTCCTTGGTGGGAAGTGTCGGGTCGTGACGCTTTTGTTTGGTCCCGACATGATAGCTTGCCGTATAGTCGTATTCACATTCCTCGACATTCACATTCCTCGACTGTCGCTGCGCGTGGCATCGTGGTAGAGAAAGTTTGTTTTGCGCTCGTATGGGGATCCGCCTTAGTTAGGCGGAGTTGGTGCTGTGGCAAAGTTTCGCAAGTCCGGCTGACGTATGCCGCGCGTAGGGGTTGCAGCGACCCGGAAACGGAAGACATCAGTGGGAGGGCGGCTACCGCAGTTTTTTATAAGCGTTTGGCAGGTCTCTACGGCGGGGCGTGGAGCGGCAGAGCCGCATTTCTTCTGTCAGTACGCAAGGGAAGCTCACCGAACGCGCGGGCGGCCTCGCGGAAGATCAACGCCCGGTTAACACCCCGGCGTCCACCATACCCGGGCGTGCGGGAGTCCACACTGTCTCGGACCCATACACGAATAATAGCAGGCGGCTGCCTCGCCCGGTACGGGAGCCTGCCCTTAGGCGATAGCGAGTGAAAGCCTTATTATTACATTATAGCTTGAGCCTTTGGCAGGCTGCCTAACGGGTGACCGTCGCAGTCCCCAGCCACCCCTGGTGCTCCAACTTAAAAGGTGTGTCTTTCGCCCCGCCATGTGCAGGATGCATGCGCCCCAATTGGAGGTTGCAACTGGTGTAATTCGGTGTAATTGCTTTGCTAACGGCAGGGTTTCGGGGTGTCGGGATGCGCAAATCATCACCCCCACCACAAAGGTCCGCAGCCTTGTCCAAGCCGGCGACAGCAAGCCGGCGGGCCTTGGGGTGTATTTTGCTTTTTGCAGCTTTCCGACTCGGGAAACCGCTGAGACGGTCACCTTTCACCGACATGTAATGTGTAGCTTGCCCAAATGAAGCATGCAACCGGGGAGTGCGTCGACATCCCATTTTCGGCAAGTGTTACGTGGAAAGGCCTTAGAAGGCCCCTCATAGGGCCGGAGCCGCATGTGAGTTGGCATTATGGCAAAGCCGCATTGGGCGGCCAGAATACATATATTCGTTGGCCGACCGCGACGCTTGAAAGTCGCCGTCCTAATCCTGGCCCCTGCATACGCAGCTTCGCAGCCAACTTCTTTTTGTGAACGCACCCCCCGCCACCATTGCTAGCACCGGCTGCTTTGCCCAACCGTGTACTAGCTCCAAATGCGACAATCCGCCGCGCGAGTCCTGATGCAGTGAATTTACGCCCCGACCGTTTCGGGCATAAACCCGACAACGGGGACGACTGGCGAAATTGCCGAACCTGGACCTATACCTCCTCGAAGTTGCCAGTCACTTCGTATTTCGCAGGTTGCATATGCAGGCCAACGCATGCCTGACGTTAAGGCAGCTGCTTCGAGTAAGGGCGTCGACCTGGGGGAGGTTGGGACAGCTGTCGCCGCCTCGGGCTCGAAAGTACAAGCAGTGGGCAGTAGGCAGGCTGCGGAACAAGGATTCAAATGCGCTTACCTGTGCCAACTTAGCTTTAAGCCCATCGCCCACCCTCGACGTACGGGTGAACACAGTCTTCTGAACGCGGTGAAGGAACACCACTGGACGGCCCTATGCAGCATATATACGGACGCACCTCGCTGGTTTTTTCGACTGGTAATTATTCGACATTACCATCCACGCCGAAATTAGGAAAATACGGCAAATATGGAGCGCCGAAAGGCCGAGCCCGGTGACCTCCC